TGCCTGCGGTGTTGGATTTTTATTCCCTCTGCAAGTGCCAAGAACAGAGACAAGTCTTCCCTTCCTGTCATACATATCATGGAAAGATTTAATTTCAAAGTTATTATTACTTGCTTAGGTGGTAGGCAGTGCCCTGGGTACTGAACTGCAAGTCACCAGTCCCTTGCTCAGCAGGGTCTTTTTCTCTGTGTGACCCCGTGCCTAGCAGTAAACCTGCATCCATAATCTTTGTCTCTTTTCTGGATTGGTTCACAGTTTTCCCTTCCTGCAGCAAGTCCTGCTCCCAGAACAGGTACATCCTATGCAACTGACTTTCACATTAACACAAACCAGGGCAAAGGGGAAGCTGGCTCTTTCAAAAAGAAACTCAAAATTTACAAAGCAGCTGCCAATTAGCCAGAACTTAATTTTGTAAATTTATTTAGGAAAAAAAAATTTAACATGAGCAAATGAGAATACTTCAGTGTTACAACAGAGTATATAAATGTCTAGCAATAGTCAAATAATTTGATCTTTAAATACAAAATAACCACATGAACACCTAATATACAGGTTTCATCTGAATACATATTTATTAGATAAATATTAGGTTGTCACATCATCTAACTACATACAGTTTTGCAAGACTAAAAATCACAATTTTTTCTGACCAGTTTAAAGTATGAAATGATTGCATTGTACTGTACATACAATGTACAAACAAAGACAATGGCCATTTTTGCAGGTTACTTCGGATTGTACTTTTTCCTTTTTTTTTAATTCTCCACTGATCATGATATCAAAAATTGTACAAAGTATGAATTTGGTTACAATTATTTTTTTCTAATCCCCGTATTTTTCTTCATTATTTCTGTAGCACCCTAAAAATACACAGGTGATAGACTAGTACACGTCAGCTAAATATTACATGTAGATAAACAAAATGAAACAAAGGATCAGAGTATATTACAGAAGTGAAAGTGAAACAAATGCTGAGACTCCACAAACGCTAACAAACAGGATTCATTTTCCACATAAGATGGAGCTTCAAGCTTTTTTTTTTCCTGCGAAATAAAAACAATGCACATTCCAAGGAAAATGAATGCATTTCTGTTAACATGTCTCTATTTGTCATTTACATATGTACAGCTGTCCCTTGAGTCTCTGCTGCAGACATTGGTGTGTGTCTGTCAGTCCTATAATAATGTCTTGGCAGCAGAACTGTAGATCTCTGTGGGTTCTTTCCCAGATGAACTTCCATAGGGAAACAATTAAAAAGTAAACCAACAAAAAAAGAATAAAACTACTACTGGAATTTCATATAATAATTAAGGTTTAAAAGAAATTACTGTGATTACCCTATTTGCTAGGCTTTTTCTCTAAACTTTAATACAGCAGTGAACAGATTAAAAAAACCCTGAATTTTTATTTAGGTTTTTCATACTGACTCCGCTATACAGTACCTGATTGTAGCTGACAGAAGAGGGAGTTTAAAGTTTTTTTTTTCCTGCGAAATAAAAACAATGCACATTCCAAGGAAAATGAATGCATTTCTGTTAACATGTCTCTATTTGTCATTTACATATGTACAGCTGTCCCTTGAGTCTCTGCTGCAGACATTGGTGTGTGTCTGTCAGTCCTATAATAATGTCTTGGCAGCAGAACTGTAGATCTCTGTGGGTTCTTTCCCAGATGAACTTCCATAGGGAAACAATTAAAAAGTAAACCAACAAAAAAAGAATAAAACTACTACTGGAATTTCATATAATAATTAAGGTTTAAAAGAAATTACTGTGATTACCCTATTTGCTAGGCTTTTTCTCTAAACTTTAATACAGCAGTGAACAGATTAAAAAAACCCTGAATTTTTATTTAGGTTTTTCATACTGACTCCGCTATACAGTACCTGATTGTAGCTGACAGATAAGTTTTAAAACTGTCTCATATGTCCAACATTTGGGTGGTGGGTTAAAATTGTATTAACTCTCTCAAGATCTGCTTAAAAACCAAGAGTTTTTGTAAGCTTACAAATGTCAACCGTCCAGTTGCAGTTACTGCAATTAGCATACTGCAATTAAAAGTATGCTCCAGACATACTGCAGGTGAGGTTTTTTTTCCCTTTATGCTTTCCAACAGGTACTTGTAAATGATACATTTTAAATACTACCAGTTAGGCAAAAGGTCAATCCTTAACACAACTGGTTTAAAATATGTGGTGTTGACGAGGAAAGTAACTTCAGGTGACTAACTTAGCTGCTCAACAATCAGTGGAGGGTGGAACATGAAATAGAATCAATTAAAAAAAAAAAAAGAGCCACCAGTTCTGACTAATAGTGAGAAATCTTCTTTATTCCCAAACCTATGGCTTAAGAAACTTCCCCACCCTCCCAAGAAAAAACCCAAACTCTAAGGGCATAAAGTCAGTTTATCATTAGCCACCCCTGCAAATTACTTCAATACCTATATAAACAATGCAGCAAAAAAACAGGGGGAAACTACTACAGAGAATGGTTACAAAATACATCTGTAACTGAAGAACGGTCTTTCCTAGGAACTGTGTGATAGCAGCACCACACCACAACCATGTTACCATGTGTTACACCCAGGTATTTTTCATGTTCTGCAGAGATCCTCTACAGGTTGTCAAGCCTACATAAGAAAAAAGACACTTCTAAGCAGAATAAAATATACTATACTGTTTCCCTCCCCCACCCACCAACATCCCTCAGTGCTTCAGTGCCCCAGTTTCAGGGACTGGAGCACTGGCACAAGGATATAAATATGGTACCTTACATACTCGCTGCTTGCCTCAGTGCATCTTTACCTGCTCAGACAGCTGGTCCTACGCGTTCTGATCACTTGGGCAAACAAACAAAATCTCTGCCATCACCAGCCCACAATCACCCACAGTCAATCAACATCCATCGCTTAGTTGGGTTTTGTTTTTGCCTTAGGCAATCACTTATATTTCCATGACAGAGCTGGACCCTGATTGTCCAGTTACTGCCTGATGTATCAATTCATTAATTAAGTAAATGGATATGCAATTTGGGCTAATTTCTCACAAAGAAAATGGGGGGGATGGGGGCAGGGAGAAAAAAAACCCAACTCCCTTATCTGTTAAAGAACCCTCAATTTTCTTTTTTAAAAAAGGACCCCTATTTTTCTTCAGACAAGGTATTTAAAAACACCAGCAAAAGTAGAACCAGATCATGAAAATGTTGAATATTATCAAAGACAATACTAAAATATTCACAAAGATATTTACAATTGCAATTCTTAAAATAATTGATTTTGCATAATGAACAGCGCCTTTCTTAAAAAAACTCGAAACAGGAAAAATATAAGTGTGGGACCATCTCTACATAATATGTTTGACAGATTCAATACTACTGGAAAAAAAAATAACTAAACTGTCATTTCCATTAATATCTACAGCAAGGTGCTGCTGACTAGCATATATATATCATGAGGCATGTACAGCAGTAGTGGGAAATGTTAACAACAAGAGAAAAATAGAACAAAAACCACGAAGAATTTACAAATATGACTTTGGTGAGGAAAACAAATCCAGAGTTGCAAGCACAGAGCATGCCATTTACAGCATTGCAAACTAAACACAGAGGGTTAGGAAGCTATCTATTCAAACAAATAGGAACAAACAGAATTTTGCCTGGCACTCAGTTTGAAACGTACTGTGGCGGGCAAACAAAGGGTGTTTGATTTGATTTGGGATGAGGAAAAGGAGTAGGGTCAGATTTGCTTTAGTAACAAAAAGGAACAAAACCAATAACTGTACAGTGGGCAAAAGCTGAAATGTTGCACCACAAGGGCAAAGTTGGCACACATGCACTTCTTACACAGCTACTGTACATCATTTATAAGAGAGAGAGACGAAGAGCACAGAAATGGGCACAGAAGCAATAGGAAGCTCATGCAGGAGCAGCAACCACACAAGAAGCACAGATCACAGAGGCAAGACAGTGATTGTGGCAGCAGGGTCTCTCAAGGGCAGTAGCAATCTACTGATAGTTACTGATTCTCCCCATGCCTGGTCCTTCAGGAGAAAGAAAGAGCTCATCCCGGCAGCCAAAGTTTAAGAAACAAAACTGAAGGACAACAAAAGAAAAAGCCTGAATTATCTGTAACAGTCACAAAAACAGAATGCAAAGCAAAATAAAAATGAATATGTAAGATGTCTGTCCAATGTCAATGCCCCTTCTCAAGCCTGTTATTTAAAATAGTTATGCAGGTAGTGGCGTTCCTCTCCCTCCATCCTGCAGTGATTTCCTTGCTGCCTTCAACCCGTCTTACTATGTATTGTGCAGTACAGGTGGTGACACAACCGCTTGGGGCACAGGAGGCTGTTGGTAATAGGAACAGTTTGGTTTGCATTTCCCCTCCCCCTTTTCCATTCTGTATAAACATACATGGCAAAAAGATCTATTATAGCTATCTCAACAGCTGGATGTTAATGCAGCCACAACTGGTATGATTTGAAACCAAAACCACAAAAAAATCCCTAAACATAGCAAACATATATTTTAATATTTTTTTTTTTTCCTGGGTGTTTCCAATCTATGTGTTTGGCCAGAGGAATCCTCTGCAAAGAGGTGGTTAAGATTCCTGCACTTGCAGAAATATGCACACCCATGGCTGCAGCCTGGAGATTCTCAGGACTCCATTACTGAAGTCACATTAGCTAAACTGCTGGCTCCTCTCATGGGCCTTTATGTCTTCCCTATATTTGCCACTTGACTGTAGGATTTGTGCTTTTTTGAGCTTTGTAAATATTTTTGTTTTTCTTTTCATGTGTGGGCAGGACAATCACTCCCAACACAAACCTGTGGCTGGAAGGGGGCATAAGGGAGGTGGGGTGGAGGGGGATACAGTTTCAAAAAATGGAAGAACACAGGTTGGAAGGACACTCTGAGATGGGTCAATTAAAGACAGGTCCATTTTGCTGTCTTTTCTTCCTTTGCCAAGATACTTCACACTATGTTTATCACAGAACTCTCTCTCTATAGGATGAACAACAAGTGGGGTTTCCAACAGCTGCACAACTGTCTATGCTTCTTTGTCATGTGTAGCACAGCAGACTTGGAGATTACTGCTTTTTTTTTTTTTGTATTTTTGTTTTTCTCCCGTCACTTTCACAGTTTTTGGAGCTGACAAACGCAGTTCTGAGATGAAGAAAGCAGGGAGTGCACCACTGGATCAAGTTGTGAGCTTTTTTCTTCTCTTGTGGAAAAGGAGTGTTAAGATTCCTTGCTGTGCAGCCACACACGTGTGAACAAGTGAAAGGGATGGGAGAATATGTATAGTTTCAGTTGTTCTCAAAGAGAGACAGAAGGTCATCATTGCTATTGCTTGGCAAATCAGGAGGATCCAGGTATGAAAGCAGCTCATCTGGATTTGTGAGTTCTGGAAGCAGCTATAAAATATAAAGATAAAAGGAAAATTACAGATAACAGAAACACAATAGAAAAAAAGGGATTAAACACCACACATTCCTGGAAACTGGCTTTCATATGTAAACATCCAAATAAATCAGAAGACAACGACACAAACCTAATACCAAGATGATGCAGTATCCACTTATTTGTGAAAGTCTGTATTACTCAGCTTTCATCTGTGAATTACATTGCCACCTCAATTACAGTTTCTTAAATCAACCTCCCCATCACAAAGTTAATTGATAAACAAAGTGTATTTCCTGGCTAGCAATGCTGACAGAAAGTTCTTGATTAATGCTCATTTTGTATGTTAGTTTCATGTAAAACACTGAATAAAAAGTTGAAACAGCAATTTGAGTAATACATATTTGAGCTTTAAGGCAGATCAATAAAGACCGGGTTATCTGACTCGCACATGTCAGTGTGATGATCACCTGAAGCCTCCATCCCTACAGAAAGAGGCAGCCTTGTCCTTTCCTCACCCCTCAGCCACCCTCTCCTGCCTCTGTGCGCTGATGTAAGATCTGGGGCAGGGAGCTGGAGCAGGCAGGGAGCTGGAGGAGGCAGGGAGCTGGAGGAGGCAGGGAGCTGCATGCTCTGCCTCACCTAGGGTTAGAACTAGCCCAGAAAATAAAAAAAAAATAGAAAAAAAAGAGAGAAAATGAGGAGGAGGAGTGGCAAGGCAACGGGTCAGTCCTTTTCCTTTATGTGATGGTGACAGTTTACAGTGTTTGAAGTACTTACTACAACTACAGCATTACATGCAATTCCAGACATGTTAAAGGGTCAGGGGCATAACACCCCATCCAACAGAAGATACGCTCATCTCCACAATGTTTTAAAGTATCAAAAGCAATAGTTGTGGGGGGAGGAGGTGTTTATATTTTTCTTAATACTGTGTTTTGAATAGAGAATTTTGTTTTTCCAACCATCACTCGGATTCCTTTTGATCTGACAGATAACAAGCAAAGCATAACCCAGGGGCTGTGTACCAGGCCATGTTTTCTGGTTTATTCTGCATCTCACCATATCCTATCAAAAGTAAAAATGTAATACATAAAAAACAGCAGGGAAGAGTTTGTAATAAACTCCCTTTATATTCGGTGTTGTGTTGAAGCAAAGACAGAAAAATATGGACTGTTCTAACAAACTTAATAGTAGGCATGATACATTAATTTCAAGTTGTTGTATGTTTTCAGATACTGTAAAAGCTTGACAGCATCACATTTAGCATGTAAATATATTTATATTCTTCTATTATATGCTATTCTATTATGCTTCTATCCTGTGCAAATGCTGCTTCATCTTCTAGTGTTATATGGAAAAACATATTTTTCAATAAGCTAAACATGAAATGCAGAAAGCAGTTTATTACTTCCTAAGCATTTTGAAAAACATGTGTCAAGTTTACGTAAACAAAATCTCCCAGAAAGAAAGCTTTTTTAAAAATACCACTTCCTTTTAATAATAGTAAAAATGGTACTGTCATCATACCAGACTAAAGAGATAAGGCTTTTAAACATATTTCACCTGTTCCTGTAATTGTTTATGAATACCTGCAACAGAAGCCCAAAAGAAAACCGTGGCACCACCAAACGTGTAGAGAGTAAAAAGCCAGTTGAATTTGTCCTAAGATTTTACAACTCAATTCTTAATTTTTTAACATAATATCTCTGAGACTCATTCATATATACAGAGGATTTTAATTTTTTTTTATTTTTTTTTTAAGAAAAGTGAAAGTTTTAAACAATATGCTCAATATCTCCTGAAGATTGAGTCTTCTAAATTTTGAGGGGGACCTCAGCTTGCTCTGGTCAGAGGGGCCAAGCAGCACAGCTTGCCTCCTGCCCAGCTGGTGTGGAAACCAGAGACCTCAGACAGGACTTGCTGGCAGTTGGGAGTGCTGTGCTGGAGCAGAGGTCAGAGACAGAGGAGTGGCAAGGGCTGCGAGGGGCGAGAAGCTACGAGAACACGCCAGACTTAGGGGCAGAATTTAGAGAGGTGCAACCAGTGCTTCTGAAGAGAACACTTGAGAAGTCTAACCAGTCATTTGACTCTAGTGCCTCTGCTGTCTGAGGTACAAGTACAGACAACCTGTACCTACATCTGTATCTATAACAGGTATATATCTTTAACCCAGGGTAAACCTTACACTGCATCACACCAAACTCCTAAAGAATGAATGTGATTATGTCAGTATGAGGCAAACCAGGCTGCGCATAGTACAGTCCCATTTGGTTTGCTGCATGGGACTTTATTCAGCCTGGCTCCACAACACAGCCACTGAAAGTTAAACCCATTAAAATGATACATCTGGTCATGAGTGAGCTCACAGATATTTCAAAGAACTACATTTCTCACACTGTACAGCACTTGCCTTCTCATTTAGCTAAGTTCAGCCTCCCATTAAGACTCCAGCATGCCATCAATGATAACCACAGTACTGTGATAAACGTATAGGTTTTTCTACTTTGCTTTTCACCTGGCCTGTAACAGCACACTTTTTGAAGAAAAAAAAAATGCATTTTTACTTCACCTATTAATATTGCTCATGCAGAGTCCTTAAGGGTTCAGAACTCTAACTGCCACAAGAACTATCATTCCCAAAGGATGTGCATGTGACTGTTGTATGAAACAGCAGCAGTCTGGTTCAAATAGAAGTGAGTCCACTGAGCACTGTTCCTGTAACTGGAGCATCCATCCCTAGCCCCTTCCATTCCTTCTGCAGGGCTGCCTGCTGGCACAGTGACCGTGTGTGACAGGGAGGACGTAAGCATACAGCAACAGTACACACAGATATCAATCTGATTCACAGAGGTGAACAATTCTCTAAGAAAATGACACTGTGCAGCAGCAGGCTTTGAACAGACAGAAGATACACATATGGAAACGCACGACTCAAACGAAAATCCAGTCCTAGCACTAAGGAAATTTCTATTTGAGGAGGAAGGTAGCTAACCAGACAGATACCTCAGATAATTTATTTCCAACTCCGCTGACTGGATGGTAAGAGACTGAAGATTACTTTTGGATTTAAAACGAGGTTGATCTCTGTTTAGGTGTGAGCACTTAGCTCTCTCTCGTAGTGCTAAGGAGGCAGCAGATGTCCTTGTTTACTTTCCTATGTGGTGTGCTGAGAAGAACTTGTGCAGCTGAGCTACCTGCAGGAGCAGGTGTGGATGGGCACAGCTTGGCTTTGGCCGCAGGGAGTGGGGACAGTGCCACAGGATGGGCCAGCACAGATCCCCCTCCCACTGGTCAGGGCATGCTGCCGGGCTCGGTGTGCAGCTCACTTGGCACAGAGCTCTGCCACAGTCAGAACCACACTCAGCTGCATCCTTCCCCTTATTCAGGCACTGTGACGGCTGTGGGGTCTAGATGAGCACATGGGAGCCCCCGTCCAGCGATGAGAGGGAAGGCAGGAGATGGCTCCCAGCCTGGTGCCTGAACTGCTGTCTGAAGAAATGCCTGCCTTGGGGCTAGGAAAAGGCTACAGCTTGCACGCCATGCAGCTGCTCCAACCAGAACTGAGCTCCCAGCAAGCCAGGAGCACCCTGCTACCTCAGCTGCAGCACCTGCGCCCACGTTCCAAAGCATGAAAGGATGGCATGTGCTGTGGAAGCAGCTCCCCGTCCCCACGCCCTCCCCGCCCTCCCCCCGCGATGCGAAGCACACGCTATGGCAGGCAGATGAGAGTATGACACAGACTTACATCCAGCGAGGGCTCCGGCATGTCAGGTGCTCCCTGTCCACCAGCCTGACCCTCTAAGGCTGAGGAGGGATTAAAGGTCAGGTCACTGTGTGGATGGTTGCTAGAAGCGGCCGGGGGTGGCTGCCGGGACTGCTGGGTAGGAGGCCCGCTGTGATGTAATGGCTGCCCTGACTGGCTGCTGGGGTGAGGGACGTGCAAACCTTGCTGCATGGAAGTATGGGACTGATCAGTGCTGCCGGGATGAGGGATCTGCGGAGGAGGAAAAAAGCAGGAAAAGAAAGTGAGGCCACAAAGTACAGTGCTCACGGTGCCTGACTCTGTAACCACATGTTACAAAAAGAAATAACTTAAATAAATTTTAAAAAGACACACACAACAAAACAAACAAACAAACAAAAACCCAAAGAAAGAAATAAAAAGTGGCATCAGAAAAGAAAACTCCATATCCCAATGCCAGAAGAATGTTTCAATGTTTTGAAGGTTATCTGCAAGGAAGAGATAAACACATTGAATTTGTGCTGTTGGTTTGCTTCCTTGTGATGTGGGAAACTCTGCTGGAGGACGCAAAATAATGAACCCCAGAGAGGAGGGAAGGAGGCTTATGGTGCTGCTCAGCATTAGCAAGGCACATGCTTTTGCCCGAAAAAATTCCATGAAAGAATGGCAGATTTGTTGAATAACCATCCCTATGCCAGGAGACTGATTAACTGAGAAAATGCATAATTCCTGCTCAGCTCCTTATTGGAGAGCTTCTTCCTGACACTGCTGCCTATTCATGCTTCAGCTCATTACAAACATCTTGCAAATATCAGCCCTTCCCCACTCCTCCCCTCTTTTTCCCCAGAATGCAACACCTCTTTTAAGGGCTGAAGATTTTCCTCTATTGTATTAATGGGTTTTGATGGCTGACAAAAAACCAAGCCAGCTCAGCTGCTGAGGTCCCTGCCCTGTAGGTGGCTGCATACCGGATGACTGCAAAATACAACTCATTAACATAAACTAAGCTAATGATCACACTTCTATTTTGTATTCATCCCATGAATAAGTTCTCTAGCAAAAGAGATAAGTTCTCTAGCATGTTTTCCATGGGAAAAAGACTATCAAACCACATGCATCTTCCAAAGCCTGTTACAGAAGAATGGGGGAAAAGTCTTTCTCACATGACAGAGAAGCAACAAAAATGCACAAGCCCAATTCTTCCTTCTGCTGCATGTCTCATCTAATACTAATGGATTCTTTGGGGCCTGACCTTAGTGCCATGAGAAGCAAGTGTCTGAATGCTTCAGAATCAGATGTCTCATGCTAATTGGGTATATGGAGATGCAAAAAATGTTTACATTTTTTGAGGAATGCTACATATTGCCACAAAGTGGAGCTGAAATAAAATAACAGATACATACAACAGCATGAAATTCATTCAGCCAAGCCAACAGAAACCAGCAAAATGCTATGTCAGCATTGACCCTTTCATATCCCAGTAAGCTGCAAGGTTATTTTAACCTTAGTTTTCAGTTTTGGAAAGCAAACAGGAGGTTATTGCCAAACTCCATTAAAATGTTGCCACAGAATTTTGAAAAATTACAAAAACAAGCATTTTAAAAAGACATTTCACCACTCTTATGAAAATTGAAACCTAGAGATCCATTGGAACAGTTGTACTCAGCTACACAAAGGTCCTTCTCAATACTTTATTAGTTTGAAGGTTGATGGGAACAAGCAGGATTCTATCTGCAACAGTGCATTTGGGCGTCCTTCTCAAATGAGAGTTTAAATAAATTGTTAAAAAGTACTGATAAAAACTCTTCTCTCCATTAGGATCAGTTTTACTACTTTCAAGGTATTCAACAATATTATTTTTGTTAACTAGGGGGCAAACTTATACATAATCTGCTCACATTTAACGTAAATGAATCTGCAGCCTAAAAACTTTGCAGAAGTCCAAGTGAAAGTAGATGTGTGTCCACATAGTACTGTTTCCTTCTTCATTCATTGAGAACATGTGCAACATGTGGACATGTGGAAATTAAGAAAGCTTAATAATAACAAAAAGTAAAAAGCAATTTAACACAGTGTTGCTGAAGTAGGAAAGCAGTTTCCAGAAGAAACCCAAAATAAAACAAGATTATCTTGAAAAGTCTCTTAAATTCATCCCTGAATGCACAAAGCAAGTCACACTGGCATGTCTGCATCAATAATTATTTAAACCAAGAGGCATTCAAATGTGCTCAGTCATATTTCAAAATAAATAAGCATATTAGAAAATCGGCACTATTACAGGCAAGCATTCTTAATATATAAATGTTTACTTGATAAGGCAGTATCTCGGGCCTCGAGAGAATGACTGGATAGGGAGCGATTGTTCATGGGAAGACGGCGAGCCACCATAATCTTAAACAGCCATTGCAGGTTTAAAATCCATCTGTCTGCAAATCCTATAATTTTATTTTAAAAACACCAACTCACACTGTGAAGTCAGAGCCTAATATATAGCCATAAAGTTCCTTTTGCTTCCAAAGCAAGATAATTCCAGACTTGTTTTTAGGAGCATAAACTTGGGTACTTTTAAAACATTTACAGTCTGTAAAAGAAGAGCCTATAGCAGACACAACTGCATCTTCAGTTTAATGCCACGAAACACCACAACTCTTTCCAAGCCCCACAGTGACCTTCAGGAGTGCCAAGATGTACAGCCGTAGGGCAATGGGACCTGCCAGCTGCAGGACAATATCCCTTTCATCTCAGGAGAAAACTGATAGTGAAAAAAAAAGATCAGCTGATTAAGTCAATGGTTTATAACTGCCCATTGGTGGGATTATAGTTTTACCAACTCTTTTGCTGGGCTACCTGGCAGGACCGCTGAAAGATGCCATCCTGCCCTACTGCTGCTCTCAGCCATTTTTCCCATCCATGCCTTTGTGGTCGGGTGCATCATTGCAGACATGCAGTGAACTCAACTGGGGAACTGAAAGCTAACCTTTTTTTTGTTTCCCTCCTCTGAATTAGTTTTAAATCACATCAGCACCCAGATCCAGATCACTTAATGGCTGCAGTAACACTTGTGCTCGTGTCAGAGAGAGGAAAAGTGAAAACAGACAGAAGAGCAATGGCTTTTTATAGTGGCACTAGCTTGTATCACCTCCCTTTGTATATGAAACTGTGGTGTGATGATCAAGTCAACTCTGAATTCACCTTTGTCTAAATCTTGTTTATAGTTTCTGAAAACAAACATTATGCAATTGTGGCAGTTATTTTGTAGCGATCTTACACCACCACAGAAGCGTCTGTTCTACAGTTCTCACAACACACTACGCTGGTGAAGAGATACTACTTTTAGCCACATTTCAGGTCTTGATTTTTTTCTTCTTTCACAGGAGCAGAACAGCAGTGTTGAGAGAAGGTAGTTCTGATGATCCAGCCTTGGTTACCTGGCCCTACGTACATTAAACTAACAGATTTGTATTTCCTGAAGTAACCCACAGAGTGATGTCTGGATGGATCAGTTTTCTCTGCCTACAGTTATGTAAGGGCCGCCACATAAATCTACAAAATAGAAAAACTAAGTATCTCTTCAGGAGCATCCAGCTCCAGTTAGAGACAGATCTTGGGCCTAAAAAGACCAAATATCTGCTCCTGACTCACGCTGTAAACACAAAATGGTCCATGTGAATAGGAGATGAAAATAAAATACACCTTAGATGCGTAAAAATAAATGACAGAAAGCCAGACAAGAGAACAGGCAACATTTTAAAACCTTAGTTCAATTATGCAATGTGATTTAGAGTTATTTTTGTACAGGGATATCTGTCCAAAGACATTCAGCTGCATAATTTAGGAAAGTGTTAATAGCATGCATTTCTCTAAAAGCAGTCATTTTAAAGTTGCCTTTTCTGACTGTCTGCTACAGAAAACCAGCTCATTTTTGAGAGAAGAAAGGAAAGAGAAAAAGAAAGAGGAATGCAGATACTTTATAATAATGATAAATCTGTGAGAGAGCACTAACAGTCTGTAAATGTGGCCTGAAGACTACATGGCTGTGTTGACAAGGTCAGTCTAATTCTCTTGAACTAACAGACCTGAAAACTGATCCTCATTATAGAAAATGGGGCATTAACATGAACTAGGTGGATCCTTGCTTTAGCACTGCTTCCCATTCCCAAACAGTATAGCTTGCATATCACAATAAATAAGGGAAAAGTGAGGCAAAGGTTTACTTTAATTGCCAGCAATCATAATTAAGTATCAGATTTTCTACAAACTGGCCCACAGAACCAATAATCTATTAACACATTTCCCAAAGACTCTCTTACAGCTCTTGAACATGCACAGCCTTCATCAACTTTCACCTTTGCTGTCCATCTGTGAGCAGTTCTATTTTCAGAAAGCCACAGATTCTTCACTTTCATATTCAACCACTTAATATCCTACCATTTCAGCAATGTTACTGGGACAACCACTATAGCAAAGGTATAGCAGTTAACTGATGAAGTCAAGAGGCAGGTATTAGGTAACAGGGGGCAAAGAATAATTCCCTGTGGCTTTGATTCCAGGGAAAGCAGCTGTGAGTAATTCAGGTTGGTAATATTTCCCCTCACTACTATATTCTAATGCTGGTTAGTTCTGTTGCAGACAATTCAGGCCGCTCTTTACACTGGGCATATGGTATTTGGCAATGTAAAATTAAGTTTACAGCATGTTTCTTCTGTCCTTTGTTAGCCTGCAAAGTGGTAATGTCGTTGTGGTTTCTAGACTCTTCCTTTGCAGACAGTTGTGTTACTTGAGCTCTTTCCAAGCTATACTAAGAACTGTCTCGCCTCTCTCTTCCTATTTCTCACCATCCTTCTTGGAAAACCCACTGCTAGCTAGAGAAGCCATTGACCGAGTAGGCCTTTACTGAGCATCTGCTACCACATGTCCTCATTATATTCTGAGATTGTTCTTTCTTTCTAGTATTCACTAAAGACACGGCACAGATGACTTGTCAAATTAAACACCCTTCCTGTGCAGTAACAGCACACTATAAAGCTCTTGCCCTGTAACTTCAATGAAAATAAAAGGCTGTACACACACACCTTCCCCCCATCCCAAGCTAAAATAGATGGCTAGCCATCCCTCAGAGCTAAATGCTGCTGGTAGCTTTTCTATCACCTGGCTGCTGCAGTACTGCATTTTCTGGAGATACATAAAGTTCTGTATATAAAACTCAGTGATCTGAGCAAGCTGCTTCTTCAGTGCAGAGTTCTGGCTCTCCAGCTGAGACCTAAGGAAGCTCCATTTTGTAGTCTCATGTTGATACACTCGCAGGCCAGTGGCAGTGTCTACATCTACATAAGCCATCTACAGGCTTATCCTATTCTCAACAGCTTAAAGGTGCCTTTCATGCTCCTTGGGTAGAACTCCCCCTCAAAATGCTTTGATGCAAATTTTGCCCTCAGGGACAAAGCCAGGGAAGATACTGTCCCTGCTTTGATGTCAGTCAAACTCCTGCTGTAACAAGCTATCTGCTGAAGATGGATATTCACAGACCCTGGTGGCCTAGGGAATGAAGTTGAGTTTTTATCAGGTGTCAGAGCCAAGGACAACCATTAACACAAGCACACTGAGCCAGATTGTCACTTCCAGATAAATAAGCTTAAATGAAAATTAAAAAAGCTCAGAAATGCTTCTCCAAAGACTCGAAATGGCCAGAAACTAAAAATAGTATTATTGGTATTTCTCAGGACAACTCTATTTCACAGACTTCCACAAAAAGTAAAAGCTCTTCACAAGGCAAGTCCATTAGTTGGATGAGAGCTCCTTGCCCCCAGTAAAAGATAATCCACATCCACAGCACCATTACTTACAGATTCCTGCATGGGGTGACTGAGAGGTTTCTCAAGAGCTGCCATACTGCTCGGCATGTCTGGGGGATGTGACAGCTGTGGCCCATGCATGAAGTCATTCATAGACGTGCCACCGGGATTCCCGTGCGGGAAGTCAAAATTGCCATGGCCTTGGTAACTGTTGCCTAAAAGAGAAGCAGATGTGATTTGAAAGAAACTATTTGTTTTCCAACACTGATGTCCTGGAGTATCTTGCAAAAGCTGCCAGGCATGGCATCCTCCCTGCACAGCACAGGGCAAGTGCCATGCCAGGCATGACAACACTGTGCCCCCTGCTGCTGGGGGAATCAGAAGGGAAAAATGGCTCTCAGCTTTCAAATACTGGCTGCTTTAATAATTCATGTACATGTTGTAATTAATTGAAAACTGCTGACATTTTAAAAAATGACTGTGAAGTCACCACACAAACTTAACCAAGCTGAGAAGTAGAAGGGGTATTAAATTCTATGGAACGTTTGCATTTAGAAGCATCTCAGTGCAACTGCAACTGACTGTCCAAGTCCAAAATACTTACAGGACTGTGTTATGTGTATGCTTCTATACACTCAGTAAAATGGTAGCAATTCTTCAGTTTCTGATTAAGCTAATTGACAGAGCTGTATAAGGAAGATTCCCCAGTACCAGTTCATAGAACAGCACCAATTTTACCTCTTCTTCTGTAGCATAAGCAGGCAACTTCCATTAAGATAACACAGAAGAGGCCTTCATGTCTAGTTCAGTTTGTGATTTAATTCTTGCTCCCAAAAAACCTAGTAAAATTCACTTGTCTGTCTTCAAATACATCAATTTTTCCCTCTTGGATCTATTCTTCTAGTTTTCAGTTAAAAAGTAGCTGCCTATAGCTTCTGTTTTCAGCATGTGCATACACATGCTCATAATGAAAAACTAATACATTTATTAAATCCACCTAACTTCAGTCTGAAATTATGTTTTCCAAAGCACCAAAATTTCACACCAATTTGTAATAAACTATCTGGATTTACCCCCACACATCCACTATCTAGCAACAAGGTTGAAGTCCCTGGACAAGCACTGTATGACCATCGTTGGCATGTTTTTATTCATCCCACCTCAGCTCAGCAATTTTAACTTGAATTCTAAAGTAAGCATGTATCCCAATACAGGGATTTTACTCTCCATAATTTTTCCTGTCCAGATCCCTCTGTTAGGCACTCCAGTACCTTATTTGCTATGAACAACAAAAACTGAACTAAAGCCACTCAGCTACTTCATAGAAGCCACTGAAGTGGATGATACTGAGCTCTGAAATAACAGGATAGCTGTGAAGCATGCACAGAGAGGCTGCAGTTTGTCTGCAGAAGTACAGCAGCTTTACATGTTGAAATCCAGAAGAGAGTTTGACAAACTGAAGTAGCTGCATCATTTGCTCTTTAGCACAGCTTCACAAGCAGAAATTTAATCACAGAGGAATGAAGTCATTAGCCATGTAAGAGTATTTCTCAGAGAAGTCAGGACTTTGATCTAGCATGTAAATACTGCAGAGCCATATTAATTCTCATTTTGTTGATCTGCAAACTGGATGAGTCTCACAGAATATAGCTGGTCTTGCCTTGCTGCTTAGGCAAGATTTAATGGCAGGGAGCTGGAAAAAGGTCTTGTGTTACTGAGTACTTCTTATTTGCAAACTGAACTTCAGTATGCTCACTGTCAAACAAACAAACAAAGCACAGCAGTAATGCTGTTACTGCTTTGCTCTAGAGTACTGTTAATCAGAGGACATCACCTAACTGTAAACACCAAGTTTCAGGGCACATATTGATGGAGAATGAAGATGTGATGCAGGATGTCCAGGGATTTACAGCCATGCAGCAACATGCCCTTTTCTGAGGAAAGAGTAGTGCCACATGCTGAGGGACAAACCTATGAAGACATTTAGGATGACCTAGTGTTCTGCTCTGATATGTCCATTGCAAGGGAAACAGGAGAGCAGGGGTTTCACCTGTCATTGATGAGCCAGGGCTCTGAAAAGCTAAAGGATCCATAGGGAAAGGCAGGGAACTAACAGTCTAGGCAGCAATTGTTACACAAACCCTAAACCCCACTTTACATCACTACCCTCTCTGTTCCTGATTATGAGCGAGAAAGCTGATGAAGCAGAGAGCGCTCTGTTCTCAGGCTCTGACTGCACTTCACTCCTACTAAGCGGGTGAAAAAAACTGTCATTCAGTGCTCTTAGCTTTGTTATAGTCATAATTCATCTGTTTGAAAACCCAAAAAGTTTTATCATCTGTCATCAGTTTTACGTCATTGGAGCAAATTAACCATATTTTGCATGCAATCTAAATTTTTCGTCAACTTCCTGCAACAAGCACATATATCATCTTGTAATCAATTTGGCGGTTCCAATGGTGTGAACAGTTGGTCTTTTCCCAGAGATGAACTGAGTCTTATCATATTACTTGCAAAAGAAACAGTCTCTGGTTTCATATTTTCAGAATTGTCACCATAACTGCATTATATTCACAACAAAACAGTAATTTGAAAATGTATCTTCACTGCCTGTATTCAGGCAGGACATGGGCAGAGGAACTCAAAAGTCATTTTCTAATGCAAAGGTCATGGCAAAGCAGTTAAAATCTCTTTTAAAGTCATCCACTTTACCACACATCACCCAACTGTCCACAAATTAAACTTAGTAGCCCGATTATCAGGGTTAATGGGTCAGGTCTCTGTAATTTGAGGGCTGCATGGCAATAAATATGACAAGCACTGATTTTCTTACTAAAATGTATTTTTCTCCAAACAGATGAATCTTAAATGAAAGACTGATGCAGAATTTCAGAACTGTAGCCATATAATTTCTTTTCATTATGTATCTGTCTGGGGATGCAATGACCTGAATCACAAAGCTGACTGAACCATTGGCTTCTCAAGTGACCACAGGTGGGTGCACAAAGCTGTAAAACTAACCTTGGTTACCATATTCGGTGGAGTTGTTGCCTCCTGGAGGAGGAGGTAGGGATGGGTAAGGTGATGGGCCAGGACCCAAAGCTGCAATCATCTCCATCACATTTGGCATGATCATCTGGCTTGGACTCATGGTCTTAAATCTTTTTGAGGGAATGCCATCTGGGTCATCTTTGATGTGAATATCTGATTTTATAGGGACGGGCCTCCAGCTGCAAGTTGGATCAATGGTAACTTCTTCAAACTCTGAGCTGTAAAATAATGTGAAAATTTTCGCATGTCAGTTATTATTTTTTAATCAATTTTGCTTAAGTTTCTGTAAGAATCTGCATGGCAACAAATGTTCTGAAATGCTCTACTATAATACAACCTCTAGATCTTTCACTCCTCAAATGTGTGCTGTTAGCAAGTTTTAAAAACAGCAACTGTGAGAGTACATTTCTGTGTTTATCCACACAATGAAATCCAAACATACCTATGTGGTCTGACACATGTGAAACAGAGGGACTACTTGTGAATGTGAGAAAGCACTTAATCCTCCATTCTCACTCTTCCCTTTGCTTCATTGGTGAGGCTGCCATCAAGAGATTACCCAAACAAGATCTATTAGGTAGATGAAAACTGATTCACTAGCTCCACCAAAAGGAGCCATGAAAGAGAATATTCAGGTTCAATCACTAAGACCTACTTTGGCATGACTATCTCAGTACTCATTAACATATCTCTTTGTTTCTTGGATATAAAAAAATGAGTAAGTTTACTTACTTTTGTATAGCATTCAGAATACCCCACATATACTGGTCAACCTCCAAGCCCTCCAGCAGAGCAGTTTTACTAGAAAGGAAAAAAACCACCAAACCTCATGTTAGAATATGCCTACAGATGTGTAACAGAGGGATGGAAGGAAAGGTGGTGAAATCAGCAGACTGGGATCCATCAACTTATTATCTGTACCACACAATTTAGGAATGATTTGGGGCAGTTTTAGTTCTGCATCTTCATTACCAGGATAACAGCATTCCACATGAAATAGATTAAATAAGGATACATCTAATGTGTGTCCACAAGCTCTTCACATCATTTAATTCATTTTTAGTTAAATGTATTGTGAATTTAAAGGCTTGTCAAACATAGCAGATCTCTTCTGTGAACACCAGCTAGGACTATTTTATTTTCAAATTGGATAATGTTTTTCCTAGCTATACACTACTGTATCTTCAAAGTAACTACATATCATAGCTATTTTACTTCAGATCAGCACAGATGGGAACAAAACAAAACAAAAACTGAAATGATTTAGTTATGTAGGCACTTAGATCTGAATGCAGGTGCTTGTACTCAAAGAGATATAGGACAAAAAATGTGGCCTGGATGTATGAATACATAAATTAAGAACCGAGACATCCAATTTTTGTGATATTTTTGGCCTAACTTACAACAGAAAGGCAGTTCAGAGAAAGCAGTTGCACTTTAGGATACGTGTCACAGATATTCATTGAAACAAGCTCATCTAAAGCCTGCAATGTCCACAGAAGCAAACAGAATGGACAAGCTGGTGCAGCAGGGACTGAACTGGAGACTTGCAGAGTTAAAGTACAAACTGCTGCTGCTACAGCTGCTCAAGATAAGAGAGCCCTGTGGCTCCTCAGCTGAGGCTGGAACAAACTTGTAACCCTGTGGACTGAGCACAGGAGGTTACAGGAAACTGAATTGGCCTGCAGATGTTCTGTGGTTTTTTTTCTGCCCCAATGAATGGAAGAATGGGTGACTTGAAAGCAATTTGTTCCATTCCTTCTGCAGTATCCTAGCCCTCTGGTCAAACATAAGATTGAAAGTATCCCTCTTTTCCTTTAAGAAATCACTCCAAACTTCTGCTCCTTGGAAATCTTTTACTTTTTAAAAAATCACCCTTGTTCTGTACTAGAATTCTTCCTGCTTTCTGCTCTCACTTTTGTTTGCACTTGCTGTTGACTTTGACCTTAGAGAATCCAACTGAATTTCCTACACAATTACTGGAAAACATCACAGTCTTCAAAATTCTTCCTCCTCTTGAACACTGCCATTAACTGCATATCTATGTGATTCAAAGCAGAGTACCTGAGACACTTATTTAGCATCCTTATTTAACATTCAGCTGGATGCTGAACACTTTAGTATCTACATATTTGAAGTCCAGTAATTTGGACATTGCAATATTAAAATTATAAAAATATAACTCCAGAATAGATTATCCCTTCTTTTGCCATGGCATGTTGTTGTCTGGTCATTGCTTCATAATCCAGGGAAAGACAAACTCCCAGTTCATTAGTTTATGTAGGTATCTGTATTATTAGCTTCTTTTGAACTCTATCCAACCCACTGATAGCCTGTAAAATTATCTATTTTTTTAAGAAAATATCTTGTTACCTGTTTTTAAATTTCTAAATAATGCAGGGTGTTCCCTGCATGAAATACTGCAAGAATTCTCACTGGCTTTTATGCTATTAGGTAAATGTAATATATACACCTTATTTCCTAGCAATTCCTTTTTCTCCTCTCAATGACCTTAAATATGATCTGAATTTGGTCAAATCATACACAAATGTGTTTCAAGTAGCATGGTTGCACTTACTTGCATACCGGACACCTCCAAGTTCCTCTTTCACAGTTTAGTTGCAAATAAGATTCCAGATCAAAGCACTAGGTATCAGAAAGAAACAAAGAAGACAAAAAAAGAAAATAAGTAAATTAAGGAAAAATACTGTGTAACTAAATCAATTGGACAAAAGTAAAATTGCCATGAAAAAACACCTATTAGCACTGAAAACTGAATCAAGTAACTTACTTTGTCCCTTTACATTAAACATATATGCACATATAGTTACTTAGGTGGGCTGATATAGAGAAATCCCATTTCATTAAGCTCTCTCATATGATAACCAAGCTAAGGGTACTGTAACAAATGAGGGAACATTGCCAGGCCACTGGCATCTACTCACTTGTACGTGCTTGCAGTCGTGACCTCTTGCTGGGAGCTGAATCCGCCGGAATGTGATGGGACACTTCAGAGACACTTTAATGGCAGTTTGCTCTACTCCATCCTCCCCATTTAGTGTTGCATTGCCAGAGGAAGCTGCTACACTACTGAAGTTCCTCTTTACTGTTTAGGAAGAAGGTATGTACAAGTGTGAGAAAATACAAATGTACTGCCAATTCTGACATATAAATATGAAAGATCAATACTTCAACTTTTAAGGACCAATTTAATGGACAATATATCCACATAGTTGTATTCTGTGTACCTTAGAACATTTTCCTGAACAGACAAATCATCAGATGTGTATCAACCAAATAAAGTGCCACACAGGCACTTGAAGCACTAAAGAATCTTTCTACACTGGGCTTTTAGGTAAATAAAAAACACATGGAGGAAAAACTAGAGAGATTATCTGCGAACAGGAGAGTCGTTAGGAAGAAGTTTATGGTACTTTGGTAGCTCCACCCAAATAACCCTCAGCATTGGAGGATACCAAGGATTTAATCTATGCACATGATGTTCTGGAAATTTCTGACAAGTACAGCTTAAGGTTCTCAATAAGCAAGTAAATCTTGTGTAGAAATAGATTACTTCAACTGAACATAGGCATTCTGGAAAGTCATCATCCACACAAAATGAAGACTCACTCTTAGTGATACAATGTTCTGCCGGGAGGAGGCGTTTCTTTAGTAGACCTTGAAGCACAGAGCGAACTGATGGCCGGTGCACTAATTGCAACACGAACAAGTGTGACTGAAAGAAAAAGCATTTTGTTACCAAAAGAACCAAACGCATAGGGTAAATACACTGCTGAACAGAGCTGCATTCTTCTCTTGCACACATGGCTTCCACAAGAGCCTAATGCTTAAGTACAAAAGCAGGTTCTGCTCTGCTGTGCACATGCACTCCCTTAGGGATACTCTGCACGCTGTGCAGTCTGTTGTTATGCTCCAGGAGCGTAACACATACAAGAGCTTAAAAAGAAATAAATAAAAGATTTTATGTATTGTGTCCCTCCTTAATATTCAGAATACAGAAAGCTGATGTACTCTTCTCTGACATCAGGGTTTATTTTTAAAACCCTGTATTCTTTGACAGAGTCTAGCCTACATACATGCCTGCCCGCAGACTACCTGGGAAGTTACAAAACCAATTTGCTACTGATGTGTGCCTGGAACCAACTGAATCTTCTCCAACACGGAGCTAGTTGTGGGTTCACAGGATACTGCCCCTGTTTTTAGCCACCAGATAAATGACATTATATGGAAAAATATCAATGTGAAGTAAAGCAAAATGGGTGGATAGCTTCTTGGTGAAGTGCCTCGCACTGCAAGCTTGGGACAGATAGCAAGTTGCTTGCTTGTCAATGACAAGAGAACAGGCAAGAGCACAGACTTTATGTGTGCAACAGTCTGCATTAAAAATACAGTACTCTTCCCTTAGAGTAGCTAAACCATGGAAAAGGAGAATGGCCAAGTTTGCATGGTCTAGACTGCATCACGGAATATAAAGTTTTAATCTGAAAAGCTATTTGAAAAACCATCACTACCACCACCAGTGATTATGGTGTTGATGTTCTCATATTAAACCAAACACAGTTTGATGCCTTAGTTAAATTAAATTAGCACTGGACAACAGTCTGCATCACAATAATCTACTGCTACTTTAATACACTTTACCTGTCTTGTTACACAGGCACACTCTAAATAGGTAGGAGATCAAACTCCCTTCCTCTCCTAGACCACAAGCCTTTTCAGAGAGATCAGAAGGACACCACTACACTCCACTGTAATTCAGCAGCAAAAATTTTCCTATTAGCACTCTGACTGTGTCAACATTATCAAACAAGCTTCTTACCAGAAAAATGCATGGGGAAAAAAAAAAAAAAAGAAGAGAGAGACTAAGGCTCTTTCACATTTGCAAACAGTGTTAAAGAGCAAACTCAGCATCAGCAGCTGAAGCCATGAGCTCAGTGTACTTACACAACAACATGCTGTGACTGTAATTTGAATCGTGTTTCTTCCTGGCTGGCAGACGTGCTTTAGGTGCAGAGGTTTATGAGATGTCTTGTTGTCGCCACGTTCGATGGTAAGTGGGGTTGCATTAACACTGACCTGGACTGAAGCTGGCCAGTTTGTGTTCATTTGTCTGTCTTCATGGTGATAGCACTTGAACTGTAATTCCAAGTCAGACCTGTACAACAACCAATAAATCTTCCTTTAACTTTGCTTTCACATTGCAGAGGGAGGTTGTTTTGATGCTAGGAATGGTTTTTCTTTATCAATGAGATTATTTTTCTAGAATTATTGCCAGTAAAGGATATAACACACTTTTTCATAAAAGCCCTTAACAGAAGCAAGTAATGATGAATTAGTGGTGCAAGTACACCACAGAATTGTTAACAATATTTTACACTTATAAAGGAATTCCCAAGGGAACATCTCAAATCACTGTGCAAAACTAGACCATGGAATGATCCTGCAGAAAGAAAAATGTTAACAGCAAGCAGAACCTTCCTGTGTCTTAAGACTTAAGAATAAGCAAGTGATCCACACAGTAGCTTGTGCTGGAAGACTGTGGATTCTTCACTACTTCAGAGTATTTAAAAGAGTATTGGAATGAACAACTGTCAGACAAAATACAGGTACAGCTAATTCTGCCTTGGAACAGGTAAATCAACTAAGATAAAATGACCACTGTATCTCATTCCGTGTGTTTCTGTGATTCCAAATTAACAGAGCTGTGGATTAAATCTAACCAATTGAGACCTTTCAGAGCATTAATTCCTCCCACCTCTCCAATAATAACTTACACACACTAATTAGCTACTCAAAAATTAGTTTTGTAACATGCCCAAAAAAAGAAGAGACTAAGTTAATCACAAATTAAGTGGGTAGTGACTATGAATTAAATTTCATCCACAGATGTTAACCTTATGTTAGGAATGAGTAATCTGAAACTTGAGAAATTTAAAAGAACATGAAGAACTAAGTGTCATGATTCTGATGTTCATGACAGCAAAAGACAGCTGAATGTTTATCTTTTATGCTAGAAAATCTAGGTGCTCATTTCTTCATCATGCCTGAGGGAAGATATCTTTGTAAGGTACATGAAGAAGAGACTGCAGAGGAGATCATCACCTAACTGCCATTTTCCTAACCGAGAAGAGAGATTTCAATTCTGACAACATAATCTTCCCTGGATTTAAAAAAAATTCGGGATTTAGCAGTGGATAAAACTATGTTTGTTGTTGTTTTTTAAAGAAAGGTATCAAATACAATCTACCTGACATCTTCCAAATAATCAATCTATATTTAGTCTTTTTTCCAGTACTTCATTAACAATTTTTGATAGCTCTCTCTGCAAGGCCCAGTCAAGTTTCTCACCTGATAAGAACACAACACATTCGCTCAAACACGGAGGGATGCAAGGCTTGGTACCTCTGATACAAAATCCAAGCAATTAAGAGCACTCCCAAACACTTTGAGCAGGCCTGCGGTGACAGCTCAGGAGATCCTAGCATTCTTAGCATGCAGTGTTTCCACTGTTGGACACTATTAACAGTAGCACTGCTAAGACTGAACCAGCTTCAAGGAGACGTTTTCCCTGCTTTCAACGTTTCTGTTTCTCGTAACCATGAAAAGTACCCAGTGGGGAGAAAAAGAGTTGCATTGCTATTCATTATGTGTCTACACATGAGAAGTCTTGCCGAGTATTTTAACTGGCAGACAAATATTCAGAATTGGCTTGATTCCACCATTCTTTGTAACACTGAAATCCATTCACACATGTGACTAATTCATTTTTCTGGAACTCATCCAGCCCTGAGTTAAACGTGAAATGACTTCATCACAGGACCATCCGTTCTCGTCACTATTAACAAGCTTTTCAAAACAGCAGACCTGAGCACAGTTTACCTGTGAGTCTTCCTTAAAACAAGTTTAAATAAAGGTTATGTGTTTGGTGAGCTAAGGAAGAGAGAACAGATATTAAGAAACAGTCTCATGCCTCAATGCAGCACTATAAATCTTCCAAATGAGCAAGCTCAATTCCCAGTAGTGATTACTTATTAATAAGAACTGGCAAATAACTGCCAAAACTCCCTCTGCTGTGAGTACTCCACAATAATGAAATGCGAGTAAGCAATAACTGATCTGAAAGTTAGGTGTTAATTACTGGATGTGGTCTGCCTGCAACGTCCCTCCCTTCCAACCCTCAGGCTACCTCAGGGTAGGGGGGCACCATGGCAGCAAGGAATCCTGCATCCCACATCAAGCTTCAGCTTCAGAAAAGCCTGAGTCTGTCCTTGGGGCAGGGAATAGAGCACACTCCTCAGCCCACCTCATGCCCTCCATACCATGTAAACAGAAGGCTCAAGTGAATTGCAGTGAATGGGAAGAAGATCCTCAGAAGGAAAAAAGCTGAAGCTACAAGTTATCACACCCATTATGGTCAGGGGGTATGTGATCCAGGCCAAGGAAGGTGAAGGCAAGTGTAAGTGAGGCAGGTGTAATGGAAAATGTACTGAAGATGTTGCACTTTACCATCTCAGCTGCTACACCTGGGAAACAAGCTCCAAATAAGACCCTGAGAAACTAATCAGACTCCACAGCGCACAGACAGGCTCAAACAATGTAACCAGAAGCCAGGATAACACTGAGATACTTTCTGACAAAAAAAGAGAATGGGGAGACAAAATTACTCAGTGGTATTTGAAAATACACACACAAAAAAAAAAGACTCTGCTTGTAATTTGATCTAAAGCCCTTCCATGAGCATGGTGGAACTGGAACATAACCTGGAATCACTTAGGAAGATCTACATTAAATGTTGGAAACTGCCACCTAGGAAAACTATTCTTCTGTGCCAAAAAGTAGTACTTGCTCAAAGTGAAAACCAGGCAGCTTTGTATGCGGAAAGCTATGCCCTGGTATTTCTGACTTGTCCTCACTTGTGGAGCCAAGCCCTTCCATGAGCATGGTGGAACTGGAACATAACCTGGAATCACTTAGGAAGATCTACATTAAATGTTGGAAACTGCCACCTAGGAAAACTATTCTTCTGTGCCAAAAAGTAGTACTTGCTCAAAGTGAAAACCAGGCAGCTTTGTATGCGGAAAGCTATGCCCTGGTATTTCTGACTTGTCCTCACTTGTGGAGCCATAGGAAAGGAAGAATTTAGGAAGTTAATTTCTGAAGTTTGCAGGATTTAAGCACTTTGTTTTCCAAATTATTTTACCAAGCATCTATATCAGGCACTTCATTAGCATTTTATTTTTCTTTATCAGATAATCCACACCATTTAATTAAGCATAAACTGTAACAGCCCTGCATAGTTAATCCTGCAACTAACATTTCACAGGCCACAAAGCACCTAGGACTTCAGAGGCTCCAAACTAGAAGTTGGTACTGGTGTCAGCTGTGCATGTCCCACACCCATTCTACCCAGAGCAGAAAGGTTGGGAACAGTTGCAGTGACTTTTCGGACACTGCATGCTGACTGCTACCAGCAAGGAGATGTAACACAGATCAGGAAGCATTTGGAATGCGTTCTCTCTGGAAAGTGACAAGTGAGAGTATATGTGAGTTTAAAGGGCATTTTTCCTATTTAGGCCATGCTTTTTAAAGTGAAATTCATGGCAAACCTAAATGAAGTTCATCTGGTCTGTCACTCCTCCATCACTGGGTGCAAGACTTTCTGGCAGCAAGGCTGAGCTTACCTCCACATCAGCGTCTGATGAACAGTTGGCCTTAAGTGAAAGACATGGTTACTGACTGCCAGGTTGTGTTCCAGCCGGAAGGGCTCCAGTACAACACCATCTCTCACGGGAAACGTCAGACGCAGCTCATCGTTGTGGTTGGCTGGGATCGAAGAGGGAGAGAAAGTGTGAACTTTCCCTTTAGCATCTGCAGTGCAATAATAATGTGTATATTTATACAGAATAGTAACAAATGGCACAGTGATCTGCTACTGGGTCTAACTCAGGAGGTTCATACACACAAAAAAGAAAATTACAGGGAACTACATCATCTATATAACACAAGTGACAGGGCTCGAACTGATGGCAATGGCAAGCCAAAGTCTTCTGTTTTCCCACACTTAACGTTAGGACCTTAGCATTCCAGCCACAAACAGATACCAGGCATGGCAAGAATTCCCATTTTTTTACTGGACAGGCTCTGTGTCCAGGCTTACACTGTTGGCAGAAGACTAACAACAAACCTCTTAATTATGGCAAACTCTAATACTGCTTATTTTCCCCACTTCGAACTGAGATCAACATGACCTAATTCATTTCAGCGGTTTTATTAACTGAAACTACCTTATGATGAAAAAAATGGTATTCAATTGTGTATCTGATCTCATAACATGAGGTTTTGTGGTAACAGCTGATCTATGAAGTCCAAATGTCTTTAAATGCTGTGTTCTTGCCCAAGTAATACTTCAGGCCACCTTTTTCTGCTTCATTTTTCAGCTATCCAGCTAACCTGTGCAAAGACAGGTTGCAAAGTGCTAATGCAGCAGAAGTTATTTCACAAAAAACATAAATGTTCTCCCAGTTTTTTAGTAAATTATAATCTCCTATTGTTCACCAGTCACTTCTAAACCTCAAACATCTTGTGCTAGTATATAGTCAGAGAAATCTTGTTATTCCTGCCCTGTTTCCAGCCAAATGTAGCTGTGGTGTTGAGTGGCTTTGAAAGGAACATATATCAATTTTTGGCATACTACTGAATATTCTTAGGAAGCCTGTATGGATCACAATAGAGACATTGCTATAAATATTCACATTTTATGCTATTCTGCAGGGATGTTCAATGAATGGCTTTGACCTTGAACAAAACAGACCACAATGGAAGTTCACACAATAAACAAGCCTACTAAGCATACATAATGGAAGCCAAAATCAAGTGTCTTATCCTCAGGACACACATCAAAAGAACACTTTGGGAGTAAAATCCTTAACAAGTTTAACCTGGATGAACCTTTACCATCCTCTGTTTTAGAAGGGGAGAGCAATCTTCATGTCAACTGGCTCTAGTGAGCCTGCACTGTGCATGCCTCCTACCACAACTCAGCAATCCGAGCCTCTCCCAGAGCTGCAATTGGAGCTAGTTTCCAGATTCTGAAATGTATGTGGCAGATAACACAGGGACATGAAATGCCTGCAGAGGCATTCTGTTTGCTACTCACTTGGAGGTGGTGGTAAAGCACTGATATTTGGTTTAATGTCAGGTGGGAACGGTGGTTTGACATCCTGGTTAGGTGACAGGTATGGAGGAATATTGCTCCCTGGAGTCATAGGTGGTGTGGGGTTTCCTGGAACAGGTGAATGAGGGTAATTTGCCACAGGTACGGGCCTTGATGGCTAAAAAATAAATAACATCACGTTGTTATTGCAATCTGAAAATAAGAATAATTAGCCTTGTGAACTGCACTGTTATCAAACACCCAAGACTTCAAAAAAGGTAGGGAGGCCTCTCTGTCTCTGGAAGGAAAAGAAACCACAGGACATCCCATGAGGCCTTTGGGGAAGAGGCAGACTAGGAAAGCAAAGTAGGAGCTGAAACTAGCAGAACAGCCAACTTAAATCATGCAATGACCAGATACAAGCAAGTCTGCCAAGAGGTTTATTGCATTCCTCTGAACATTCTCTTTCCAAAACCAACAAGCCATTTGCTTCAGCTTTTCCTCACCACCCCAATCCACCCAGACCTTTGTATGTCTTTGGCTTTGTCCCAAAGTTGCCCTAGTACACAGAAGCTTACATGAAAAACAAAATCCAAACCCACGCACTTAGAACATCTGTGTCCCTTTTACTTCCATCTATCCTTTCTTCCACCCCTGTCCAACTCATCTACTCAAAATAAAAGCTGTGGGGGGCAGGAGATAACTTCTATTCTGTGTATCTACAATTTTTTTCTATTTGCTGCTGAATTTGCTGCTAAATGGGTAAGGATAGTTAAGTATAAATAGCACCTACAGTATTAAAACACCACTGTTCTGTTTCTTGTAATTAAGGGCATGGTTGCAGTTAACAGAACAAACCAGTAACGATGACATGAAGGAAGCTGACATTAAACCAAAGTGCAATTGCATGGCACTCCTGTAATAGCTCATGTACCACAACCACATGCATAGGAGAGTGTCAGAGAATAAAATCTCCAGAGACAGCCAAATTATCAGGACTTCAGTTTTGGTTCTGTATCTAAATGCTGTGGTGCTAGCCTAGGGTACTCTAAAGTAAAAAGGAAGAGAGCTGTGTTCTGAAATCTTAAGCATTTACACTTTCAACCATCTTTGCTCTTTTCTTTAACACATACAATTACTATCTCCACATTCACTATAATCCAAGAATTCAGGTCCTTGTCTGCAACAATGTGCAATTTTTCCCCTAGCCAGGATAATCTCCCTTCTTAACAAGGCCCCTTATTATTTAACTGTTTCCAGAATGGTAGATACTTGAATACAAATACAGGATGCATTGGAAAGACCACAGAATTCCCTGTTAGAACTATCCAGTAAACAAAAAAACTTAAAAGCCATCTAAAATAAAAATACATTAAAAGTATTCAAAGAATTGTCACTTAAAAACTTCAGAGAGATCTTCTGCTGTTATTTTAGCATAAGTGACTGCACCGGAATTACAGTAAATTAGGATCTGTCTTTTTGAGTTCTTTCTAGCAGTGTACTGCAAAACCTGCTGCCATGCAACAGGCACCCTTCAGGTACCACAGTGGACAGCTTGGTTGCACAAAGAACAGATGCTCTGTAGTGAAGGGTTTTGTTTTCTTTTTTTTTTTTCAATGGTGTTTGCTGTGTGAATCACACTGGAACAATCCCAATTCAACACCAATGTGCAACTTGGGTTCTTTCAGCCTACATTCAAAATATAGTCCAGTGACTTTAACAGCTAATGCTTTAAGAGCAGGTCAGACAATTGATGGTCCTCTCCATTTTTATACTCACTGGAGTACCTGTGTGCAAAAGATCACTTTTTGTGCATTTCAAAGACATAAAACCTCAGCAGGCCCTCAGTGCAAACTCAGTTTGCAGAATACGAAGCACTCAAGATGTATCCATAAAACAGATATCAGGCAACATTTAAAAAATTCTAATTCTTGCCCAAACAAGAAGCAGAGAGAGAAAATAAGGAGAAAAGGATAGGGAGAGGTTGGAGAAAGTCACGCAAACTTCAGTTCAAAGATGAATTCTACAGCTGGAACAGCTTTAAAGTTTGGGTTGGCTTACTCCAACAGTGACCATTTTAAGATGGAAACTGGGATGCTGCAATGTGGAACTGGTTTATTACAAATTTCCAAAGTTGTATTCTTGCAGGGTGCCATGAATAGATGAAAATACAACAGCTGAATCCCACTAGGTACTTCTTTTTACATGCTTTTTTTTAAAGCAAAACCAACATTTTCTTGTGAAAGCCTCTAATGAGTTGCAGTAACATTCAATTTCCTTCACAAACTGTTCTGAAGTTACAATGCAACTTGGCTGATTGACTTGATTTTGTGACATGTAAAACATTAGTAAAAACACTGGGCTTTTTTCTGTCTTTCCTTCAATGATGTAAAAGGAGTATCTATGAAGTAATTAATTTGACTTAATTCATAAATCTCTACCAGATTGTAACAAGATAATATAAAAATTCTTACCTTGTAGTACTGCCCCATGTTGACCGTTGGAGGAGGGTACTGCCCTGTATTTTGCTGGCTTGGCATCCTCTGTCCAGGATAGTTGGGAGATGTAAGAGGTCTTGGAGGGTTGGGAGTGGGATACTGACCAGGCTGGTTTGGAAACTGGCTATTTGGTCCATACTGCTGGTTTCCATAACTCGGCTATTTCATGACAGAGATGAAAGAAGACAAAGAATTGTTTCCTGCAAGCAGCTGCCTTCAACTGATTATTAGCATACATTCAATAGTGGAATAAAAAAAAACAACCCACCCCACCAGGTGAATACTTCTCAACTTAAGTATCACTCATGCCTAAGCCAGGGCCGTGATGGCTGGAGGTGAATACTCACTCAAAAGCATTCAAGTGCCACAGACCAAGGCAGGGTAAGAATAAACATGTACCTTAACACACACATACACTCATCCGGGCAACACTATCAAAGAGCAATATGTTTGAAGAAACCAGAATTACCAGCAGATGCCATATTCACAAAATCTCTCTGTTTCTGCAAATGCTACCAGCCCCAAACCCTGAGACTCTGTGTTGACTTGGTTCTGGCATGGTTTTGGTAGTGGGAGAGGAGCCACAGGGATGACTTCTGTAAGAAGCTACTAAAAGCTCCTCCAGCTTAGGTGGTCAAGGCCAAGTCATTAGAGGGACAACAGATGCACCATGGAGGACACTGTGCCCAGGGAGGTGAGTGTTCTCAAAGCAGCCCATGACTGTGGGAAGCTCACAGGAATCAGGAACAGCTTGCTCCTGAGGGACTATACTTTGTGGGAAGGATTCATGGAGGAGAGGTTTGTGAAGGACTCTCTTGCATTGGAAAGACCCCTTGGGGAAACAGGGAAAGACTGCAAGGAATCTTTCTCCCTGAGGAGGAAGGAGCAGCAGGAAACAACTCCCTGTGCCACTGAAGGGAAGGAGGTAGAGAAATCAGGAACAAAGACATTTGGGCCCAGGAAGAAGGGAGGCAGGGGGGTGTGAGGGTAAGGTATTTAAGCACTGCTCTTTGTTTTGTCTGTGTCCTGTGTGCATTTTATTAGTGGTAAATTAAATTATTATTATTTTTCCCCAAGTTGAGTCTGTTTTGCCTGTGACTGTCATCAGTGAAGAACCCTCCTTGTCCTTTGTGCTGATCCACGAGCTTCTAGTTTGCTTTTGTCCTCCCCATCCTAGTATGTGTGTGGGGGGAGTTGAATGAGTCGCCACATGGCAGGTTCTTTGTTGTCAGTTAGGCCCAAACCACAACAGACTCCTTTTCCAGATGCTTCCAGAGGATGGAAGCACAAAACTAAAAAGTAACATAAAAAAATAAATGCTGGAATGGACGGAGAATAGAAGCTCTGTTATCCGTGTCTGTCTTCTCAACACAATTGCTTTGCTGTCTTGTTAAGTAATAATTTAAGAACTAAAGAGAAGCTATTACTAGTCATAAACACCTTGCTAGCGCTAGCTAGTACTGTGCTGCAGTTTTGAAATCAAAGTAATGAGAACTGGAACTTTAAAGGAAATAAACTGTCAATTTGAAAATTAAATTATTATGCAGAAGTTTCCATAAATGAAGCTTTCAAACATCGATAAACAAATAGCACCTATGGGACATGCAGAATTCCAGACCAGCAAGCACATAACATTTAGGCACTGTTCAGCATTGAGTTCTTGGGACATGATTGTATTCACTTACAATCAAAAACCTGCTTCTGAAGCAGTAAAAAGGGATTTACAGTCTTCCTTCAAATAGGAAATCTGAAGATAAAAATCATCTGAACAAGCCACATTGTGTTTTCTTAACTTAATTGTAGAGTAAGTTGCAGTATTCAGAGTGAAAATACTTCCCAGAGAAGCAACTCCTGCAAAAGCACATCACTTTTTTTAATTTCTGATTTTTTAAATTAAAATAAAAAATAGTTTGCAGATCAGGAAAGAAATGTAGTTCAATAATAAACATTTGCTATATTTTCTTCATGCCATGGTACTCCTTACTTTATGTTTTCTATAAACTCTTGCTATATTATAGTCAGGGCAATATAATATTCAAAGCTCTACATTTGGAGTTACAGATGTTGTAGTCTAAGTTTAACACAACATTTCACCAGGAAATCATTTCTGAAACTAGTAACTGATGGCTAGACATTTAGGTAGAGGCATTTGGGTGCATACCACCGGTTGAGACATTTAGGTGCCCACAGATGAAGAGAGTTGGTAGGATTCTCAAAACCACCTACTGGCTGATTCACACCAATTTGAACAGTAAGATGCACTGATACTTGTTAAAATCCAAAAACTTGTCTACATCTTTAGTTGTCTATATTTCTTTAAAATTTTGACCCAAAGTGTTTTGCCCAACGTCATAATACAAGTCAATGCCAATGTAATTTTGTCTGCAGTGCCACTCGGATCTCATAGAACAGCACGCAAACTTGAAAATACCAAACTCCAAATAAACTTATATTAGATAAATGCTGACACAGAGGGATTTGAGTTCAACATGATTTATATTCACCTCAGTGCCTATGAAAATCAAGCCTCAAGAAGTTTGGAAAGCAATCGCTCTTTAAATTAAATGTTATTACTATTGGTGTTTATACAAGGTATGCCCTGTATTTCTTTAGAACAATAAAATCACCCAAAAAATGCAGAACACATATGCACTGGGCTCAAATGAAGCATTTCACCTTCAACATCTCTTTTAAGTTGTCACGTTAAATAAATCTACTCCTGTGAAGGAAGTCTGCTTAAGGTCTATGAATTCACCATCTGACATGAGAATCTTAAATTGACATTTGAAGGGATCAGCTGTTTTTGGACGTTTCCTGGTTTTAATGACTGTCATCTTGACTAACATGGCAAAGGCCAACCTGAAGCTAGAAAGAGCGAGCTGCCACCCCTTGTATTCTACCAGGTGCATTCCTACCAAGGCTGGAGCAAAGACATACCTATCTTAGAGGGATGCTCACCGCACATTACCCATCATGTTGCAACTTTCCATCAAAATAGTAGTGTACACAAAATATCATTTATTACCTCTCCTGGGTACGGTCTCTTTATGCCCTGTATAGGCAAAGACTGGGGGCGTGGGCCTGGGTAGGCTTGCTGAGGCATCCTCTGCCCATGGGTGCTGAAAGGACTCATTCCAGGAGGCCGAGGCTGGTTCATGCCCATGGGTGGCCCACTCATGCTGGAAGGTGTCATTCCTGCGCCCATGCTTGCTGGGTTCATGTTGCCTGGCATAGAAGCAGGGCCACGAGGACCAGGCTGGTTCATAAACTGGTTGTTGTAAGCCTGAGTTGGACCCATCTGGAAAGAGGAACAAACCTTCAACAGAAGAAGAAGAAGAAAAAAAAAGAATAAAATGCGACATGCATTTAAAATGGGAGGAGGGAGCTCAACATGCTTTTGGGGGAGGGAAGAAGGGGAGGATTTATGTCGCATTTTCCTTCAACGTTCTCCAACATTTGATGGGTGGTGATGTTATTTATAATAAAAATTTTATTTGAATTGTAGAAGGCATGAGAGAGAAAGACAGACATAAGTCTAAGGTGATTAATTAAATGTTTAAATTGGCTAGTCTATTACTGTAAGGTAATAAGTTAGGGACTTGTCTGTGTAAATACAGCACAATACTACAGCTTCTAAGGCACTGTGCTTCTTTACATCACTCAGCTTATGGGCCCACATACTCCAAAACTCAGAGAGGTAAAAAAGCTAGGGAGGAAAAAACCTGAACTGATTAAACCCTGGTTCATTTTAAGAAAAAAATTATTATATGAAGTCATGACATGCTGGATGCTATGGATCATCAGAAATCCATGTCTTGCATAGCTGTGTTCTCAAGGACATTATAAAAAAAAATAAATAAATCTTGTTTCTACTATTTTTACCTTGTTTGAAGGGAGGAAAAACCCAAACTGCTGTAGTTGGCAAAACAGACAATTAGCCAAGTGGTACAAAAACTACTCCAAGATTCTGGAACATTTCACCAACTACTCAAATTCAGGGTTTCTCAGGGGTGTCAAAGGTAGCACTAATACATCATGTCAGATGCAGCAGTAACTTTGGGTAATCTTCAATTTTTATAAGGAGCAATCTCTGAACTACAAAATATAGTTAGGCAAGATTTATTGGGAAAAACACGGGAAACCACTCATATCTACATACATTCCGGCAGTTTCTCAGAAGCACTTATAACCGTTCCCAAGCACAAACAACAAAATAGAGCAGGCACCCTAATAAACAGGGGAGTAAGAAGGACAATCCAATTCCCTGCAATGGTCCAGATCAAGCAGGTATGAGGACATAAGGTTACTCTCTTACCGGTCCATACTGGTTCATGTCCTTATTCTGTGTTTCCTGAAGGGCTGCCACAGTGGCTGTAGCTGTTGCTGTTGCTGTGGCAGCTGCAGCTGCAGCAGCAGCGGCGGCGGCAGCTGCGGCTGGCTGGGTGAAATCAGCTGGTGGCCTTGTGTGTGGGGGGATACCCATTCCTGCAGGGGTATTTGGGCCACCCGGGTAACTAACAGGGAAGAAAAAGTAAGAAAGAAAGAGAGAGAGAATTAAGACATGTCTGGTGGATTTTGTTTTGAATGTTGCTGCGATCCTCGTCTGGAACTGTTCCAAACCCATGCATTACTGCCTAATGAAATCAGTAGGATGGGGAGTTAGGTGTGTACACAAGATACAAGTGCACAAGTTGCTCAGGTGCAAGTCACAGGGCTGCCACAGGCACTGCAAGGCAACACTGCCAGTTGCTCTCGGGACAGTGAAGTGCTTTTGCAGCTCTGCAGCTTACTGCGAAGTTGCACTGAAGCCCTGAAGTTAATTCACCATTTCCCAACAGTGTACAGGCAGATTGAGCAGCAGCATGAACAGAGAGATTCCTCCACACAGTGTGTCCAGCTGCCCCAGAGGTGAATTATGTCAAGTGTTCCAAACATCATAAAAGCATTTCTCCCTGAACCTTAGCAGAAAGGCCAAGAAAGTCAGCTCTCCTGGATCCCACACAAGGTATTTTGCAGTTCCTATCCAGCTCTCCTATTGATTATAAGATAAACTAAGCTAAACCATGCCTCTCCTACTCCAAGACATTAACTATCTTTATAAATACAGGCCAGTATGCTGTATCCATTTTAGAGATCTTAATACAAGGCTAAAGAAACTTTATGACTTGTTCAAGATCACTCAGTAGAGCAGTGGCAGAGATGAAAGGAGAGCTAAGTTCCACGAGTCCAGGCTTATATTGTTCACACTAGACTGACTATGCTAACAACCTTTTCAGCAGGCTTTGCAGAGGGACCATAAATAGTGGTTTCAGTTAAGTGCACTTACCACGCTTGTTTACAAAGCACAGACACAGAAAGTTAAAATGTAACAAAATACAGGTCCTCAATTTTGGCTTACTTCACCAACCCAGTGTTTACTTCCATGAAATAAAGACAAAGCTTGACCATCTCTCTTAACAAACATCTTCACCTCCAAATCTTCACAAATTCCT